ATTTTCCTCTCAATTTGCTCCTGAATCAAATTTTGATTTATTAGTGACTTTCCTAAATATTTGAACTGTGCCACATTTTCAAAGGATCTATTAGCTATCTTTCTCTGTAGTGACGTGGTAGTGGTAGCGTAGTGGTTGAGGAGCTATGCTACAAGCCGAAACGTCGCGGGTTCAAGTCCCGATTAGGTCATTGGATTTTTTCCAGTTGACCTAATCCTTCCAGCCGCACTAGGCTGGGGTCGACTCAGCCTCTAACAGCAATGAGTACCAGGAATTAATTAAATAATTTTCCTGGGGAGTAAAGAGCGGCCGGCGCATAAGGCTGACAACCTTACCGCCATCTTTGAGCCGATTGTCTAGATAATGTGGGACCCTCAACGTCTCAGAACCCTATGGGCCTTCACGGCCTCATACAAGGATAGCTTTACTTTACTTACTTCTAAACCTACTTCTTTACTGATTTAAGATTCAGGAATATGTTTGTTTCCATTCCTGTGTTGTACTGTGTACGCATTACGGTAAATATGAAAATAAATGTGAGCGAATGTTCTATAGGAGGAACTTGGTTCTTCACCTTCCCTCCCTTCTACGCTACAGCTGCAGCCACTCCCTAGCTGCTTCTTGCCAGACAGTTCGTCACGCTCAGCCCATGGGACACGTTTAAAAACACGAGCTATATATTCATGTTTTATATTTTAAAATAATAAAAATGTTGTGAACTAAAGTAAATAAACATAATAAATTAAAACGTAAAAAATTAAATTATTTTTTTGGCCGTATACCGCAACAACGTGATATTAATTAGATGCACGCCTGTGTAAGTTTAAGTGTAACCGAAACATTGTGAAATTCTTACGTAAATTGAATTATATTCAATGATTCTCTACACCTGAAACTAAGAATATGGTAGCGGTATTTGAATTAATTTGTGCTGAATTATCCCTTTTCTCAAAGGATTGTTGGAAGAAAACCGGTTGAATTAAAAAAGAAGTTCTCATGGTCACACCGCGCGGACTACAGCTTTGATCTGAAACAACCGGTAAGCAAACTCACATGGCGACATTGACATGGTAACCATGGACGTGCGTAGAAGGTGAACGGAGAAATTCTCGGTGCACCAATATCGACGGTAGCCATGCCAAACTCGAAGTACACGAATCTAATAACTAACGAAATGTCAACAGACTTGATGTCCTTTGGCTGGCTCTTAAAGAGGAACTCTCATCATAATTCATTCTCGGCTTCACGTGTACAGGATCTGAACCGTGATTCTTTCGGTACAAAAACAATCTCGCAAAATATTTCGCATATCCCAGCCAAAACAGAAGAAGCTACGTATATATTGAGGTTCAAGATACAACTTTACTTTGTTGCTCACCTCCATGAGCTCAAGAAAAGAAATGCAAGGTTTAGTACGATGGGCTACTGAAGTGGATGTCAGGCCGCGCCATAGCTCAAGCGGTTAGTCGCTGGCTTCCCACCGCGGCAGCCTGGGTTCTATCCCGGGTCTGGTCAAGTGGGATTTATGGTGGACATAGTGGCGCTGGGACGGGTTTTCTCCGAGTACTTCGGTTGCCCCTGCCAATCTTCATTCCACCAAATTCTCCATCATCATAATCACCCGGGGAAGGCTACAATAGGACAATCAGTGGCCGCCGTGCCGAGTGGACCCAGTCGGACTCCACCCCCACTAAGCGAATTAAAAAAAAATGGATGACAACTTACGGAAAGCTGTGAGAGGCACGCAGTAGGTTGAGGCACTATGCTACAAGCCGGAAGGTCGCGTGTGATTCCCGCTGAGGTCGTTAGATTATTTCAGTTGACCTAATCCTTCCAGTCGGACTGTAACCCCGGGGTAGACTCAGCCTCTAACACAAATTTGTACCAAGGATCTCCCTAGGGGGCTAAAGGGCGGCCGGCATATAAGGATGAAAACCTCGCCGCCATATGTGAGCCGATTGTCTAGAAAAATGTGGGAGCCACGACGTCTCACTACCCTGTGGGCCTTCACGGCCCGTTACAGGGATATATTTACCTTTACTGTAAGCGTCGTGGCAGGAAAATAGATGAAGCTCATAGAACTGCATAAATCTTATCTGAATATGAGAACAGTGTTGAATTAAACCTCTGAAAGATAAAATTGACTTTACGATGATACAGTAGGTCACTATGTTGATGATATGACAGACGATATGTTAAATGTCCGTTATGTTCTCGATTAAAGTGTTATTTACTCTGCCTTCAACTCGAGAACGACGGGCCTTGCAATGATTTTAGTATTTGTTCTCTGTTCGCTTGATGATGAAGTAAACAAGGATTTGCCTTTACATAAGCCGCTGCCTACCCTTACAAACGGTATTGAAATTTTTTAAAAATTTTCATAATGAAAATGACATTTGTACGGAAGGGGCAGAAGCATGACTTGTTTGGTGAAGCATGTCATGATGCGTATGTACCTCGCATTATGTTATTCACCGCCAGCGGTTGGCGGAGAAGAGGATTCCTCAGAGTGACTGATATGCTGGATCAAGTACTTCTAACTTCTCTAACTTGCTAAGAACATCGATTAATGATTAATATAGGGAGGTTTCTGAAAGGCTATCGCCAACTTTTCGGGCGGTTCGGCGTTAGAGACAAATGCTACTCACGTCAACTCGTTTGGCTCTTGTTTGGAACCGCGGCGCCGTTGGCACGCCTGTACGCTATGAAATCACATGCAAAAGTCGCCCAGATCATAACAGATGGCGGTTATGGTCCCAGTTGTTATGTCAGTATTCCTTGTACCCCCATACGATGTCCACATTCACACCTTAAATTTCCCTTTCGAAAACAGAAGAAATTTTAAACTTGATCCTGTGTGATCATCTGAAGGATTTTGGAGACCTAAATTCAATGTCATCTAATTTCTCTCTTCAGTGAGCATTCAGCATTTTGATTCTGTCTCTTTCTATTCAATAGCTACACTGTCCATCTAAGTATATTTGCACTTATTTGACTAGTTTTCCCTGTTTAGAACACTAACATCTTGAATTGTACGCTTGAATCTTCTTACTTTTCGCATGAGTGTCGTGCGTGAACACTCGTTTCAACGTGTAACTCTCAAATGGCAATTCAACATAAGGATGCGTCTGACGTAACGTTTAATATAGTAGTAGGGTAATTGTTCAAAGATTCATAAGGGAGGTATTTGACAGGAACTGTGATGTGTACAGTCTGTTGGCCTGTCGACTGTCTGAAAGCGCGGTGATGATTCACCCGAATAATGTGGCCCTTCTGCTGTACTGACCCAAACAGCTACCAAACAAACTCCGTGGCTTTAGTCCGCAAGCGAACTATACCGACCGAGCGACCGCAGCTTGTCGGCCAAGTTAGTGCCAACTTTAGCGGATAGAGTGTGTCGTGTGGTCAGCGCAACGAATCCCCATGACCGTTAATCTCGGTTTTCTAGACCGAAAATAACCTTCCTATATAATACTGAGGTGCATAACCGTAAAAATGACTAATACTTCTGGGAAAAGGAGAAGCTTTGTTTTCACAGTACTGTCACTTTATTGCGATGAAATGATCGCTGGGACGCAACAAGCAAAATCTGAGAACGACTGGTTTAGATGAACCGGCACAACCCCCTGCAAGGTATCATTTGTTTTACTGTGTCCGATATTGGGATGTCAGGGGTGCCCTTCATCGAACATATTAAAATGAAGCCATTTTCTTTTTCGCCCGTATCAAAATATTTCGACTGCAAATAGTTCCTCTCGCTGCTGACAGTGAACGTCTTGCTGCGAACCCAAGCCACTTGTCCCAACCAAGCAGCAAACTTTGTTTTAGGACCGGGGATGCAGAACTTTAAGCTCGGCCTTGAGATAGGCTATTCTACCTGAGGTTTCTTCAAATTTTGTGAGTACCTCCAGACAAATGACCGAATAAACTGGTTCACGTCGTAATTCTTCTGACTTAGGCCGCCCCATAGCTCAAGCGGTTAGTCACTGGCTTCCCACCGCGGCGGCCCGGGTTCGATCCCGGGTCTGGTCAAGTGGGATTTGTGGTGGACAAAGTGGCGCTGAAGCAGGTTTTCTCCGAGTACTTCGGTTTCCCCTGCCAATCTTCATTCCACCAATTGCTCCACAATCACCCTCACCTATCATCTGAGGCTGGTACAATAGGCCAGAAGTGGCCGCAGTACAAGGGACATAGTCCCACCCCACTAGCAATAAAAAAAATGCTCCTGACTAATAATCTAGAAGTGTCCGATTCGAAACTCGGCCGGGACACCCTCTAACCTGAGTGGGGCTTTTGATGGTTTACCACAGTCCCTTCATATTAGGCCACGACCAGTTTCTTCCACGTCCTTTCCAATTTCGTAAATAAATACCTCCAGATAAATGCTGGGCTAATATATTAAAAACAGGGCATGAAATTTTCCTGCCGAATTCTTCCTTATTCGTTGTTTAAAATTGCCGTATCATTCGGCACTACGTAACCCCTTAATTTAAAAATTCTTTGTTAGACTTTAAGGAGAGAATTTCTTCTAAATTCATTTCGTACCTCTTGGGAAACACATTACGTCTCCGCGACAGAGACCAACTGGTTAATACTGTTTAGGGAAACAGTCGCTGTTTATTGTGAGAACCGTACGGAACACATCAGTACACTCTAGGGACAGTGAAGAGTTTTAGTATATTCAGTCCGTACCTCACAGGAAATAGATTACGTCTCCGCTACAGAGCCCAACCGGTTAATGATGTTTAGGGAAACAGCCGCTGTTTATTGTGAGAACCGTACGGAATACATCAGTACACTCTAGGGACAGTGGAGAGTTTTAGTATGTTAAAGCGGGTGGTACGTATATATACACTTGGGTTTTAGGTGTTACACGACGCAAGGAATGAACTGAAGAAAACATTTTGACTTTTAACACTGAACGCCTACTTAGTGCGCCTTCTACAAAGCTGAAGACTGGGTCTCCAGCCTTCTCATTACACGTTCCGTACCCCACTTACCTTCCCTTCGAAGAGCTCGGCGAATCGTTCCTCCTGTGTCTTCCCCTTCTTGGACCTCATGAGGAGGAATATGGTCCTGACGTCTGGACAGGCGCGTAGAAGCTTCTCTAGTAGTATCTTCCCCAGGAAGCCCGTGCCTCCCGTCACGAAGACCCCGGCTCCCCGGAACAGCTGCTGTATCTTACTCTCGCCGTCACCGTTCATGGCGATCTGCACACATGCATATTTTGTTGAGTTTTCAACACAACACCCTGCTGCTATTCCTGAACACATGCTTAGTTTTTTAAAGTTCAGTGACACCGCCTACTGTGATTCCTGAACACGTGCTTAGGTTGGTGAATGTTCAACGACAGCCTGCTGTGATTCCTGAACACATGCTTAGTCTGTTGAATGTTCAATGACAGCCTGCTGTGATTCCTGAACACGTGCTTAGTTTGGTGAATGTTCAGTGACAGCCTGCTGTGATTGCTGAACACATTCTTAGTCTGTTGAATGTTCAATGACAGCCTGCTGTGATTCCTGAACACATGCTTAGTCTGTTGAATGTTCAGTGACAGCCTGCTGTGATTCCTGAGCACATGCTTAGTTTGTTGAAAGTTCAATGACATCCTGCTATGATACCTGAACACATGATTAGTCTCTTGAATGTTCAGTGACAGCCTGCTGTGATTCCTGAGCACATGCTTACTTTGTTGAAAGTTCAATGACAGCCTGCTGTGATTCCTGAACCCATGCTTAGTTTGGTGAATGTTCAACGACAGCCTGCTGTGATTCCTGAACACATGCTTAGTGTGTTGAATGTTCAACAACAGCAGCATGCTGTGACTCCTGAACACGTGCTTAGTTTGCTGAATGTTCAACGACAGCATGCTGTGATTCCTGAACACATGATTTGTTGAATGTTCAACAACACAGCCTGTTGTGATTCCTAAGTGAGAAATTTCAATGCACATAGATCCTTACAATGTGTGTAGTTAATATCAGTTTTTGTATTTCACTAACTGAAGAAAGACAATGCCATGGTTTTTACATACATATGTGTACGTGCCTCTTCCGATTATCAACTCTCGAACCAGTTACTGGGTTTGTAAAACTGATATGAGTCTACCTTTTCCCTTTTACTACTGATAAAGAAGCGACGTTTCTATCAGCTACTTTTGGATCTTTTGAATTTTGCCTGATACTAGACCGTGAAAAATTTCGATACTCATGTAGAAGTCATAATTTCGTAAAACAAACAACAACACGGACGCGGACTCAATCTGTATGTAGCTTTAAGTGTGGTGATTGCAGATAAAGAAACATTGAAGCCCTCCCTCTATGTGGAATCTTGTATCGTGATAGGCGCCACATAGAAGTTTTGTGTGAACTGAAGCCTTCTGTAATGTAGAGCCATGGTTTGGTAGATATTTACCTTCTGATTAATTTTCCAAATTACCGTCAGATCTCAGAAAACAGTAATCACAATAATCATCGCCCTCGGATTTTCAAATCACGCATGTGAATTAAGTTTTTTTTTTTACATGTTTTAATGGGAAACACGGCAAAAATTGTACACTTTGAGGTTACGTCAGGGAAAATACCGCAGCTGGAACCTGTGCTACTATGAATTATGCACAGAAATTGATCATTAAATTGAATTTCTGTAATCTTGGCATATACACTGAAGAACTTAGAAGAAAACGCCTGAGTTATAAGCACTTCACGCAACATCTTGTAATGGATCTGTTGCTCTCCTGCCACCGTTTAAAGTATTCAAGTGAGTTATAACCTGGCATAGGAATGCTTTAGCTTTTCTTCGTGATATTGATATTTCTCCCAAACAAATGAAAACCACAAGCACTGATAACAAGTAACTCATTTGGGCCATTCAGTCTGAGCTGTTACTCTTCATGTTAACTTTACTGATCGTGTGTTATAGACCGAAACTATAAACTCCGTAGCTTGTAGTCCGCAAACGAACTATACCGACCGAGCGACCGCTGCTTGTCGGCGAAGTTAGTTACAACTTTTGCAGATAGAGGGTTTGTCACGTGGTCAGCGCAACGGATCCCCACGGCCGTTAATCTCGATTGTCTAAACTGGAGCCGTTATTTCCTTGACATAGCTCCTCAGTTATCCCCACGAGGCTGACTGGACCTCGTTCCAGACCCACTACTTCTCAGAAAATCTGGTAGCGCCGGGAATCGATCCCGGAACCTCTGGATGTGTAGCCGGAACTCTGACCACTAGTCCACATAGGCGGTCATGCGTTTATTACACTTTTTATCTCTGAATTACGTAAGTCACAGAAGCAGTGAGGTGTAATGATGTTATGTAGATCAGTTTATAACTCGTGTCGGTTTAACCAATACACGGGTACTGATTTTTTATAAAAAAATTGCCGGAGTCGCCATCACTTCTCTTCACTTCTGAACTCGAAACGAAAAGTCCTCCGAGATCACTTGTACCAGAAGCCAATCATCTCTCCAAGAGGTGGCGTCCGACGCTAACTTAAGTTCCTCATTGCAAATTGGTTGGATTTGAGCAGAATTCCTCGCCCTTACGTCGAATGTATGCATTCCTATTGGTTAAAACTAACTGAAGTTACGTCATCTTAACTAATGCATTTCAACATCTGGAAGTCATGAGCCCCAGGGTTTACTCGGACCGGCTCTACGCCTGTGTACCTGACATGCTAACAGACATTGCATATTCTCGGATTTCTGGCTCCAACCCCCACAAAATAATTCCAAGCTCTGCGACACACGCGCATACTTCGAGCCAAATTAATAAATGAAGATTTAAATATATGATTAAATATGTTTATAATTCTAGGCTGCTGGAACCTGATGATCTTAAAACTGTGAATGACTGTGAATCGATTTTAAATTAAGCAGCAATTCTCGAGGCTGTACTATCGTTTATCATATGATGTGAAGTTCTGTTTCGTGTTCATAGAATAGGCAAATTTTGGCAAAAAGTTCATAATGTCACGTGACGCCTGAAAACCGGAATATACGAATATGACCGTTTGCTAGGCAACGGCTCCCTCGGACGCATTCTCATGCAAACGAAGATGCCAGCGACTAACCGCTTGAGCTATGGCGCGGCTATCATCAAATCTAGAAGCCACAGTTATTAGTCACGCTACTCCTGATGCGTGACGATACTAATGTAAATAGCACAGTGAATCTTCTTGGACAGTTCTATAAGTGGCTTCTTCAGTGATAATATACCGGATTTCATTCTGCAATAAAAGAGGCTGTTTGACATGTACATACGTCACTCCTTCGACATTCAAGAAGTAAAGAGAACGACTCGGAGAAGAAAATTACTCAATTACCGAAATGCTGACGAACTTCTTACAGATGCAGTAGAACGCTTTAGCATAGTCTATTTCAGTGTGACGTAAAAACTTTCCCCTTAAGAGGCCGTGAGGGCCCATAGGGTTGTGAGACGTCGAGGCTCCCTCATTGTCTAGACAATCGGCTCACAGATGGCGGTAAGGTTGTCAGCCTTACGCGTCGGTGGCCCTTTACCCCCCAGGAAAATTCCTGGTACTCATTTCTGTTAGAGGCTGAGTCGACCCCAGGGCCATAGTGCGGATGGAAGGATTATGTCAATTGAAATAATCCACCTCATCGGGACTCGAACCCGCGACCTTCCGACTTGTAGCATAGTGCCTCAACCTATTACGCTACCGCGTTACGTTCAGTAGAATTTAAGCAAACTTAACATATAGTTTAAGGGGCCGCGCCATAGCTCAAGCGGTTAGTCGCTGGCTTCCCACCGCGGCGGCCCGAGTTCGATCCCGGGTCTGGTCAAGTGGGATTTGTGGTGGACAGAGTGGCGCTGGGGCAGGTTTTCTCCGAGTACTTCGGTTTCCCCTGCCAATCTTCATTCCACCAATTGCTCCACAATCACTCTCACCTATCATCTGGGGCTGGTACAATAGGCCAGAAGTGGCCGCAGTACAAGGGACATAGTCCCACCCCACTAGCAATAGAAAAAAATAACATAGTTTTGATTTTTTTATAGTGTGAATCCTGTTACATGTCACAAATTTAGGCACGGTAAGGATTCCGTCGACATAACAGACGTGGTTTTACAATCACTCAGTAACCAGACTGAATTTTTTATTTTGTGCCGCTACATGTTTCAGCCGTTATGGGACAATCATCAGGCAGTATTATGATCGTACGGCTAAAGATATTTCAACTCCTAAATATGGTTCCATATTTAGTTCAACATGTTCGTGTTATAAAATTATGCCTAAGTTATAATGTATAAAATACATTGTTGGCTATGCAAATAATTTGTATTAATTTTTTTGTATTGAAAGTATTAGCATTTAATATTTATCGAACATAAATAATATGTTGGAACGATATCATACTGCGAGATAAAGCCTTAGGAATACAATTGAAAGTTATACAATTAAAACATAGAAGTATTATAATTATTAAAACAATTAGAACAATTATTAAAGTTATGGAATATGTTAACATTTCTCACGTAATATTCAGAGTTTTCAGTATTGTGTGAATACCTGTGGGAAGCCACGCTGCTGAGCGTCTCTCAAAGTGCTATAGTAATGTATTTTGGGTATTATTGTTATGGGCTTTTATGGTGTGTTAATATTCATGCAATATACGTCTTGGACATAGGTTCTAAGATATTGCTATCGTTAATACATATGCGCTTTCCTTTTCTGTTCGGGAGCTGTGTACGTCATAGCTTGGTTCAATGTTTGTTGTGTTGGCGGAAACCTTACTTTGCCTTATGTAGGTTTGAATCATTAAATTAATTTGCTGATGCTTTTGTTTTTATAATTTGAAGTGTTAAGCCTGTAAAATAAATCAAAGAAGACATTGAATAATCAATTTAGAATCAACTTGAGCAATGTCAATATGTAAAGAATGTGTTTCCTGTTGGTTGAAGACTGTGATGTTGATTTTTGCAGACGGTTTGAAGAAAGCGCGTTTTTCCTGCGGTCACTCCTATTCACGCTTCCGACACAAACCTCGTGTTCTGCTTAGAATTTAAGGAAAACATAGTGAACTGTATCCCAGTATCTTCATTTAACTGAAAATAATTACTACTTTTTTCTGTTACTACTGAATGAAGTGTGACTAGCTTTCCAGGGCTGAAACTGATAAGACTTACCTCCTAAGAGAAACGGCAAAGGAACGCTTCTGAGGACTGACAATTCTTTCATTGGAGAATGA